TGGACTAACGCGTATTTGTTTCAGGTCCTGGGTTGTTTATGATTTAAACTACATTACATCTATTTTCGCAAACATTCATTAAATCTTAAAGGCTGAATCAACTCGAATTCCGATACTGTTAGCATGTTAGTATATTTGGTGTTTTTTATTTTGTCGTATTCAAGAAAGCTTCATGTTTTACTTTTAAGACTGCAGTTGTTGAACCTGAGAAATATGGCTCTATCGAAACACTTCTCCATAACGAAATAAAGGGTAAATATTCCATAGAAATTTCCGATGGTACGAAGTGTAGTCACAAAGGACTCGCAAATTTAAACTCTGCTTTAACAGTAAAAACAGAAGTTGGGGAAAGAAAAGTTGTGAAAAATGTTCCAGATAAAAGTGTTTCATCGCAGTCGAATGACAATAGGATTACTCAGTCATCTGAAGCTTCAGTTTCTGTCGAAAAGAAAGACAAAAATAAGTCCAAGAGAAAGAATAAAAAAGGTTCCAAACGTAATGATGATTGGTCTGATGACTAATCTAGCTGATTGTTGTGATGTTAACTTCGTCTTCAACCAGTCAGATTTATAATGATTTGTTATCTCTTTACCCTTAATGTGTATCATAAATTAATAAAGTCAATTTTTTATTCTCTGACTTCCTAATTTAAATATCCAACTTCAGCGCCTTTCAGGTTACTGTCAGTCTATAAAACCTCATTATTACTGAGATCCAGTGGACTTCGTATATCTCATTTGATATCGATTGTCTAAATGTTAGAGCTTGTTTTTCTGTCACTTCGCGACCGAACTCACTGATATCTATATGCTTAAAGGCTAACCGAAAAACATTTGAATTGAGAGCTAGCGTATTTTAGTAGCTTTATTGAGTAGCTTTGCATTCGTTTGTCATTGTAATGCTATAAACCATGTTTGTGGGAGCTTTCAACTACTTGAATAACCAGACTTTGTAATTAAAAAAGGATATTTAAACCAGTAATTCATAGACCTGAAAACGAAGTTAAGCTGTCTTCCTGCCATCCTTAATAATACAGTTAACGTCAGTAATGTCAAGGTTGGCTCACTGTTCGTGAGAAGAGTTCTCTAGTACATTAGGAAAGTCTGTTTTAAAATGATCACGAATTGAACGGATATGCATTCTTACCTATAAAAGCTGCTTTCTAGGTCAGCACTAGAGGTCAAATCCTTTTCCATTTCTATTGATAATATTAGATGCTTATGTAAATAGTTCTCTGGACATTCTAGTGGATCATTAGATCGGTAAATCGTTTTGATATGTCATGGAATTTCGATTTCTCTGGTTCTTTTATTTTTACCTACAGAAATAAGTCATGTTTATCCTAGGAATCGCTCAGTTTCATCCCTTATAAATGACGAAACTGAAGATATATCTTCAGGCCCGCTATGTTTATCATTTTCAGTAGCTAGTTATTCATACACCTAGAAAAACTCTTCGAAAGCTTTTAATATGTCACATGACAGCCCGTCGGACTGTCTGTCATAGTTCTTTAGAATTCGTTCAGATATCAAAAAGTCATTATTTCATATCTAATTAGCTCAAAATGCATAGCTTAACAATTATGTAGAAAGTACATAAGCATTTTAACTCTTGGACGACAGGAAGCAATCATTCATTTCGATGACACTATGCTGAATTGATGGCCTTGAGCGTTCAGTCAAAATTAATCTAACCGATGCGTGAATCCAAAACGCTTATGAAGATACCTCGTGGCTGCGCTTCACGATTTTGATTACAACGAGTATTTAGAGAATATTGTACGACGGTTTTCTTATGAAATAAAGTGTTAGGGTTAATATGTAAATGTCCAAAGTTAGGATATGGGGTCTTAAGGTTAGGAATTAGGGTCGAGGTCTTTGTGGTTACCTCTTGCGTTCTAGGGATTGTCCAGTTGCTTGATTACAAGACAGTGATCTAAGGTTTAAGCTATCGAAATTTAGCACTAGGAAGTTCAATATTGGTGTGTGGTTTTACTAATTGTCTGCACTGTAAAGCCCACGGAGACAGTTCGTGCTATGGTTGGTCACTTTCAACTGACGCCAAGGTCATCCTTGGAATAGTTCAGGGTCACGACCATGGTGTGGTTCCTTGTTCACATCCTGTATCCAAATCAACCCAGAGTCCACTCAAGGTCGTCTTAGCACTAGATCGTGTTGAAGTGCTGTGACCTGCTGATCATGATCAGAACTGCAGTTCTGTGAACAAGGATTTATTAAGAGCATTTTTGTTTAAACCTTTTGTGACGATTACAATAAGTAGGGAATTTCCCCGACATACTAAAAAATATGAGGTTTTATCAGTCTTTAGTTATAAGGTTAGTGAATCGGTGTTAATCTAAGAAAACAAATGGATTTCCCCCAAGTTTTTGATAACTCTGCGGATGTATTTAGAACCCAAGATCGAGAGATCGGATTTAACCTCGCTACTACAGGACTACAGGACTTTTATTAATAAAAGCCCATCGATCATTATAGGAGTTGAACAGATCACAATTGTGATCTGTTCAACTCCTATAATGATCGATGGGCAGAAATAGCAGACTGTTCGTTACTTCCCATTTGCACCTGGGTTGTAGAAAGAAGATTATTGCTCGGTCACTATATTATAGAAATATCTTACTGTATCTGAGTCGCCTTCAACAGTTAATCTCAACCAACTGGGATCTCGTATGGTATCAAGACCCAGTTATTAGGTCGTGAAATGTCCAATCTAGGTGGTTTGATTAGTTACATTCTCATTTTCCAGTTTATTTGCATCCCTTGGACTTCCCTAACATTTCAGATAATTGTTTGCATGTATTTATTTACTTTAGAAGTTCTAGTTTATTTGGCTGACAACTTGAATACTTTATGCTTGTTTAATGTTTATGAAGCATGAATATATATTATTATGACTTTTTTATTCACTCTTCCTATCAATTTAAGTGGACAGAGTAGAAAAAGGCCTTTGTCAAATAGGCTTTTGTATCTAGTAGCAATGGATCAGCGGTGCTCCATATAGTGACATAGGTACTGTAAACAAACAGTAGAGAAGTATTATTGAATTAATGCAAAATGCTATCATGAGCCCTTAAGGACATTTCAGGTTTCATCTTGAGTGTCTCCTGGAAAGTCGTTCGGACCACCCCAGTCGGTAGCGAATTCCAGGACTTGACTAATCATTAGGTATGTCTACAATCCATCTTTCTATATTGTACCTATAATTTCTGGGTATTAATTCTCAGGTTTGTGTCGGGACTGGACCTAAGTGGGTATCTTTAAGGGTGTCTAAAAGTTCCAGCTTATAATCCCGGTTGTAAACATCTCTCCAAAGCTTATCATAGTAAGCGAAAAGGAGTATCTCGATTGATATTTGCAGAGGAAGGTCATTCTTACAAGTTGGAAAGAAAAGAGGTCCTAGTACCGGATCCTGAGGGGCTTCATTAAGACCTTCTGAGGCCAGAGAAAAGTTAAACTTTATCCTGAGATTGAAAAATTCGACTTTGTGAATATGAGTTATATCAGTGTATCTGTGGTGGTGTTCTCTCACGAAGTCGTATTGTTGGAGTATAAAAAGTTTTCCAGAGTTGGAAAACGAAGGCCTTTGAAATGCCATATTATCTATGCTTCTATCCTATACCTTTTTATTTGATTTGTTGCTGCTAAATTACTCAAAGTATGTAGTTTCATTGCCAACATGAGATTTGTAGAGTGAGACAGTCCGTTAGGTGATTTTGGGTTCAGAGAAGCTATTGTCCTTGTTTACGTTCAAAAATCCCAATTAACGAAAAAGTATGGGAAAGTTCCGTTGCACTGTTGTGGTGCTTTTTTTACCAATCTCACTTCACCTATTTTCTATCTGGTTTAATAAACGGACCACTATATGGATTCTCGAACTACCTAGAACGACTTTTGTTCTGGCTGATATGTTTTTCCTGTCTTTATCTTGATCTCGTCAGTGTTGTTAAACGAGTTATTGTTGTATCATTTTGTACATATTCTGTGAACGTTTTTAAAATTCAACGTAGTACCCACAGTATCGATCACGGGTATTTCAGAATACTAGAAATAAAATAAAGACACCCAGAATATATCTCATTAATCTTTTTAGTTACTCAGTATACTTTAAGGCTTTTAATGGCCGTCCATGGCTCAGCTTGCTCAAGATCTCATCGATGGGCCTGCAAAAGAAATAATCTGCAGATCACTACAAGGATCTAGTTATGAAATTTACACTGTAGTTAGTTTATCAGAATCACCGAGTAATCAGCCTAAAGATTTGAACCAAGTATGACGTATCGTAGATCATTCTGGCTAGAAACAATACAAAACCTTGTCCATATTTTTAACTTGTTATGGTGACAAACCTTATAGAATCAAATGAAATAAGTGTGAATATATAGCTCATATAGTAGTGCATTCAGGTGTATTATTACGTGAAGATATTTCGAATTGACATTAAATTCCAGCTATATTGTCAAGGCTCTTCAATGCTCAATAACCATCTTCCGAATTCCAGCTAGTCCATCTGTCGTTTGGTCTATCAAAACCAGCCGATAGTTCATGGATCGATGACGTGTTTTAATTTGATGTTAGAGTTTGCGTTTAACTGTAGTACGCATGAAGCTTCGGAGTGGGTATTGTTTTAAACTTTTTAAGATTTATTACAATCTTTTTGAGTTAATGCTCATTACCCTGTTGCTAAAGTTTACTCAAAATAATACATGACCATTTCTTCATAACACTATTTATTATTTTTCTTCACATGACTGTTTTTTGCACGCAAGTCTGTCATCTGTTATAGTTTTTTTTAAACTGTTACCGTTTTAGGTATAATTAAAACATGAGTTTATTAAAAATGTTCATCATGTTCGATTCGGTACCAAAAGTTTATGGCAGACTTGTAAAACACTAATAAAAGGTTTCGGTTTCACGCTCCACTGTTTGTTCAAATGCGGTTCAGAAATAAATCTAGTGCTAAAAAGTAATCAGTCGGTAATAATGCTTAGCGAAATCCAAACATTGTCCAGTGTTCATCACCCATTTAAGTATCATTCAGAAATCAGTAACTGGTGTACAAAACGTGATGGACCATTTGACATTGCTTTAGAAGTAGTTGACGTGTATGAAGTTTGTGAAAGGGTTTCCCGATTTTCTGGGTTTGATAACATTCTTTTGGAACCTACTACTTATACTGATTATGATGGAAAAATTGTTTTAGGAGTAATCAAGTCATGTGTTGGGGATTTGCTTCATACGATTATTGACTCGTCACAGTATAAAGGCTTGTTTTTGCCTGGATACACATCGGGACAGAGTGCAAATGATGACTTGAAGGAAGTACTAAATAACAATGGATCGAATCCCAATTCTTTTGTGAAATATACTGACCATATAGCAATCGCTGGGGATATTGGAGATTCAGATACTTTTATGAATTGGTACAAAACAGTATTTGGAATGAAACGCATATTCATTAATATGTGAGTTACTTAATAGTTTATTATCATTCATGGATGCTAAAACAGACAGGAAGATGAATCCCAAGGGTTTATAGTAAAGTTCAAAATACTGGGATGATGTTGAAGGCAGTTTGTCACAGAGATCCAACTTCGAATTCTGAATATCGTAATGCATGCAAATTTGTCTTTGTTGAGCCCACGAAAGATTCAGGTATGTTGCGTAAATGCATTCAGCTTCATTGTTGGTTGCTTTTTCAATTCTAGATATTTTTTGCATATTAATATATATTCACAAGAGATAAGTTTTATCATGACTTATCTGACTAGTTATCACGTGATTAATCCACCAATCAGAATACAATCTCAGCACTGTGCCAAACCAATGACGTTCGACCGGTATAAGCACCCTAGCGTCCTTATTGGTCCTATGTCCGCCTAGCCCGTCCACTTGAGTCCGGAACACCAATACCAGCTTCCGCTATGCGAATCGAATCGAATCATTTATTTCAGAAATACCAGGTTTATATATCAAACAAACAGACTGCGATGCACCATAAAATAGGAAATAACATTTGTACACAATAAAGCCAAAAAGTGGCTGTGAACGTGGAAGACAGTAGTCAATAAACTAAACATAGCTTACGAACAGTAAATCATACAATAATAAATTATAGGTCAAAATGAAGCTTATAATAAGAGGAATATAAACATACATAATCCAATTATTGAATAATTATACCATAAGAATATATAGATATTAGTCAATCAATGTCTCAGAAGTTACTCGTGATTTGATCTTCGCTCGGATATAACAAGTTTGGTAGTGATAAAATGACTATTAAAGAATAAACAAAAATTGTTCGTTTGTTTGGTATTAGTTTTAGCGACAAAAAGGGTGTTTAGTGGTTGTTACTGTCATGCTACCCACATTGTATTTAATTTTAACCTATTTATTTTTGATGTTCGATAATAGTCCCAGAAAACGTGTAAATGAGATCAAGCAACATATTTTTAAAAGATTTTGTGTTGATATATTCGTCTTACCACTAAACTAAATTCACCAGAGCACACGAAATATTGGTGGAGGTAAGTAGAATATGTAGCTCTCTGAATATTTAAGTGGTAGTATGCGTAATCGACTGCAACAAAGTTAATGTTTTCATACTTTATCGGACGCTTTAAGTATAGAATTTTCATTCTATATATCCACTTGTGCTTGTTTAAATATATTTTTTGTCTGTTTTTACATAACGGCTCTAGGATATTGATAGAAAAATTAGTTTTTTCCTGTTCCTTAGATACGTTTGTATTATAAAATCAGTTCTTTGTAACCCATGACCAATCAACTGTATATTTCAGTATGATGGTTTACTTAATTTTGTTAAAATCCGTAGATTGTACAGATGGATTGGTTAGGTTTCTGAAATTAAAGATAAGGTTTGAGATTATTTTAAGACGAAACGGATCTACTGTAACTAACTAGATCAAACGGCTAAAACAAAACAACACTTCAGCAATGATAATCTATGTGCGAATTAGTGTAAGAAAAAAAAGGACTTTCATGAGAGTTTTTATGTATCAAGGGAAGACATGAGTAAACAATGCAGTATTTATGGCATTGTGCAGTGGAAATTAATATAAAAAAAGACTTGGACGAAGTAAAGTTGTGACATTACAAAGATTAAGGTGTGAAAGCTTACAATAACTATGGTTTTTGTAGCAACAACAACAGGTCTCGATCTAATCCTGTTTTTGGTGAACCGTAATAAATCGTTTTATGGTTACTATGGAGTAATATTTAAAAAGCATGTATTTTCACTATTTTTACAAGAGAATGCTTAATTCTTAACGGACTCTCATTCATGCATAGGTTCACTTACTTTTTAAGTCTTTTAGCGCTTTAATTTTTATGTCCTGTGTGGAACGACAATTCCCTTCAAATCGAAATTTTTATCCCTGTTGGTTGTTTGAAAAATACTTTCCCAGTTGCACGAAACACCCAGTTTTTATGTTATAAAACCTTTTTAGTTACTTGTACAATGCTAATTCTACTAGTCTACAGTATTGGTTGGAATTAACATGTTCATTAAAATATTCACAGATCAAAATGCAGTTCGTACATTTTTTTCATTCCATTAACGTGAAATATGTTTATTTTCATATATCAAAATTTACTAACTGACTGGGATAGGATTGGATTAAGAAGTCCTATGAACGGATTAAGAGAATCCTAGCATCAGTTCATAAAGTCATCTGCTGTTGTATTGAGTTAAATTAGTAGGTATTTTATTTATTTATTTAAACACATTAACATTGGTACAACGAGACACCAAATATACGGCTAGGATACTACTCGGGCACCCAACCTGAATCAGGTGGCTTTCTAGGGGCGCCGCCACCCGATCCTCAAGGCGGTGGAACGTTACAAGAAGCAGTCCCATAGTAGCCGGGGTCCAAAAAAAGGTTCATACGTCTTTTGTTCCCTCAGAACCCTGGAGCCCATGTTCACCATCGGTTTGGAATCAAGGTTTTCCAGCCTCCTTAAGTGGATCCTCCATATCCACCAACCCGATTAGAGCGCCGGACGTTAGCCTTTGGCCCTCTCAACTTCGCAAACAACACCGCATCCTCGAGAAGTCAGTGAGTAGGACTTTCTCTGCACTGGCTGTATACACTTGGCCATGTGAGAGCATTTCGAGAGGGAGAGCGAACTCTCCCCACCCTCGGCCGTACCAGGACACTTGGGGACATGTCAGTCGGTTCATAGTTCCAGCTTAGGAAGAGTTCTGGTTTAAAATTTTGGATGTTTTAACCCAGGATTCGTTGTAGTGGTTCCGTTGCATCCATTTATTTCCTTACTGTGAATTATGAGTTTAGTGCCATTTAATTATTCCATTTCATTTGTTCCTTTTAGACTACATTTCTTGTATTTAGTTTCTACTTTAACTGGCATTATTAGCTCTACTTATTTACTATCCATCATTTGAATTTGCTTTCACATTATGCTAATGTGAAGTTTGTGGACTTGGTTGTATACACATACGTAGCAGGTCTTATGTTGTTTGTTAACAACTCAATGTTTTCAATTTCAGTGGTATTTTCAAAACGAATTTTAAAGATTTAAAAGGTGCACACTTCCGTATTATTTGTTCAACAAAATTTCTTAATAAATAATCTTATTAAAAAGAAAGAATGTATTTGTAAAATCTCAGCGAATGAATTTGAAGTAAATCCAACGTTTCGCCTGGTAATCTAGTCCAATAATTTTGATGTTTAATTATATTTCCTTGAAAGAGCTTGGACTAGATTACCAAACGAAACGTTGGATTTAATTCCAATCCATTCGCTGAGATTTTACAAATACATTCTTTCTCTTTAATGTCTCACATCAACTCGGCGCCCAAATACTGTGAAACTATTCGATCAAATTTAGACGAAAGTTCTTATAAATAATCATTTTTTTACACCTAACTTACTAACTGAAGTTGTTTTTTATTGCTGTAGAACCTAGTCAAGTGACTCGATTTCTACAAGCTAATTCAGGTCCAGGCTTACAACACATGGGACTCGCCATTGATAACATTATAGATGTAGCAGCTACCTGTCATCAAAATGGTATAAAATTTATCACTGCTCCAGACGTCTATTATGAGGCTGTAAGTTTTCTTGGAAAAAAATTTCTCAATTCTCATGTTATTAGTCATTTTTAATACGTAGTCCATCAGTAAAGTACATATTTTTAGCAGCCAGATAATCAGATATGACCCGATTTCTCACCTGTACATTAATCACTTCGATCAAAGTAATTGTAAACATTAAATTTTTTGACTACTAATCACTAAGTTATCGAGCTGTTGATCAGCTTGGTTTTCAGATTTAAATTTATTATTTATGAAGCAGATGATGCACTTTGCAAAAACATAAATTTATGAATTTATTTTACTTTGAAATGTAACTCCATGATGCGAAAAAGGTGGTTTCAAATATTATCTGTAATATAATTGTCGCCTCTGTTGAGTCTGCGGTCCTACCGCTTATACTTGGAAAACGGAACTACTATTAATCCCACGACTCTAAGTGTTAACATATAAACTGATACAATAAAAGGTTTATTTATCGATTATCCAAAACACGACGTCAAAGCAAGTCCTAGAATCAAGTTGTCCAAAACGTCCTCACTAAACAAAATTACACTCATTAAATGACTTGACACACAAGTAATGATATCATGTATAGAAAAAAATCCACAGAGTACAGTATCTCAATATAGGGGACTTGATACTAATATGGGATGGTAAAATACTGGTCGACTAAAGGCTCAAATTCCCCACTACATACTTCGATTTGGGTGGTCTCATAATATTTCTAACCCATCACACAAACAGTATCTGAAAACTGAACACCTAAACTCTGATTGACAAATGCTTTTTATTACCTTTTTTTATTTATTTATAACCATAAAAACAAACTTTTTAAAAACATAGAGGAGGCTTTAATTTTCATATAGCATACGCTTCAGTAAGATTTAGCAAAACCTTTATCGTGGTATTTATTCATGTTCAAACTGATCAAATGGATCTGTGAGTAATGAGGCTCACGGGACAAACGCAACCAGCAGTTGTAAACGTTGAGTGATGTAGCTCAGAATTGATCATTCTTTATCTTACTTTGGGTTCTGAATTCTATTAATCGTACATACATATATTTGTATTTTGAAATATATTCTCAATACGTTGTTTCGACTCCTTTAATATTCATCTTGTAACTTTAATCTCGTCGTTGTTGTGTGCCATGGCAACTTGGACTAATATACATATATTCTAGGGCCTACGTCGATTATGACCAGCTGATTAATCTGTGAGTAGTTATCTCTAGCCTATTTAGTCGTTGGATAATAAGCACATGTCAGTCAATATCCAGGTTCAGAGTTGTAATTGAATTCAATTTAAATCAAGCATTGCTTTCTTCCATATTTTTTTTCAAACAATGCACAAAAATCATTTTGAATAAAATCTATGTTTTAGTTATCCCAGCGTATCAACTTGAAAGAATTTTCTTTGGATTTAGAAAAACTTAAAACAACTGGCATACTTGTAGATAAAGAATTAAACAATGAAGGTTATCAAATAGGGTAAGTAAACATAATAAAGATTTTTTTGTTAAGCCCATACAATTTAACATAATTTTGAAGTTGATGTGAACAGAGAAACAAGAAGCCTTAACAAACAACGGAAGCTATTTTTGAGTACGTTAATTCATTTAATTCAAAGCTTGTAAAACACTAAAATTTATTTTTGTCCCTAGCTTGTTCTACAGACCATAAGCTTTCATTTGATATATGATTTATAACCATAAACTTTTTTGTTGAAAAGGTGTTGTAATTTAAACATAATCTTTTATACTCGATTTTCTACCTTAATCTCCAGTTTTGGACGTAGTTATATTTTCCTAATTGCTTCTGCGTTGTGGTCATGTTAGTCATCCATTTCTTCATGTATCTTTTTACACTAATCTGAATTGGAGTGTAAATCGGAGAAGGGAATGAATTGAATTCTGTTCTAGTTAACTCCTCTTTTCTCTACGGCCAAGCAGTTAGTTTCACCCCGAACTCACGCATACTAACCTCAGGGTTAAACCAATCAGTCATCTTGTCAAGGTCTTAATCTAGATTGAGACAAGCTGTCTTCTACACATTAGTGGGTAGAAAGATCAAGGAAGTAACAAAAGTATTGGTCATGGTAATTTAAACTTAACTATTAAAAATTAAAAATTTCAAATATTACCCTCCGTGTTTAAACCTTACTTTATTAAAGTCAATGTCCACAACTGGAAAGTATCACTGCCTTCTTCATTCACAAAATCGAATGGACAAGCTTGAATATTTGTCCATTGTTTTACCACAAACTATTCTTTTTTTAAAAATTTGTTTTGTGATTTCACTTATTTACTGTATCAAATTATTTTGTTTATTTAAACAAATCCTTATATCACTTACCTCTTCGTTATCATCAGATTATCATATAGATATCACTGAAGCTAGTTGTTAATATCGTCCATATCAATTTAATGAACAAAGACAAATAAATTTACCCGTATTCATTTTAACAAAGTTAGACAGTTAAGAATCAAATGGATTTGGAATTTATTGTATACGTTATTGAATAAGAAAATTTTCATTTCAACGAAATCATTTACTTAAGCTGTACATTCGCATATATAGTTATGTGGAAAATGTATGTCTATAGAAGGATAGAAAGGATTGCATCACAAAAATGAATTCGAGAATAAATAACAAATGAGGTTAACGTACTAATCAACGGGTAAGGAAGAACAGACTTTATGGGTCAGATAATAATCCAATTTTTGAAATATTCCCATATTGTAAATTTAGAACAACATATATAAGCGAACAATATTGTTTTCGATTAGATCCTCATCAGGCTTTACTCTAATATACAGTAATATTTATATGCATATACGAAATAATTAAACCAATCAAGGTAGTTTATAAGTCAATGATAACAATGAGAACGATTACACAATAAGTAAAATGTGAAAAGTACAAATTGATGGTGTGACAACAGGTGCATTAGTTTTTGATAAGCAATAAATAATAAAGGTTCAAATCAATGTTACATAATCTGAAATAGGTCAATGATTAGAAAAATATAGAAACTGAGATAACAATTATAAAATTATAAGATGACGTAATAAGAAATGTTCAGATAATTGGACCATGAAACGTATAGTTGAGAGAAAATAAAGTGGTAGGAGGGTGTGAAGAAAAAAAAATAAACGAAGAGAAAGTTAGAAAAGGAATAAATAAATAAATAAATAAATTCATTTATTACTTAAGGCCAAGGGAGAAATAAGGGAGTTACAAATTTCTTCTGAACACAAAGACTTGGCTTGTTGGCTCGGATTCCTATAGCTTCTGCTATGTGTAAGAGACGAGATCGAACACCATAAGGAAAACTAGTGGGAATCCGGTAAATAACTTTGAACGACTTGTTTCTGTCCACTACATGACCGCTATCGATCAAGTGTGATAGAACCGAGCTGCGTATTGTTTTGACGTAACCTTTTCCTACCGGATGGGTGACAATTATTGAAAATATTCAAGAATTCATTGAGGTCCATGTCTTCTTCACAAATAATGAAAGTATCATCTATATATCTCTTATATAAATGAAATCTATTAATTATTGATTGAATTACCAAGTTTTCTAGATTAGCCATGAAACAATCCGCCAAGAGAGGACCCAATGGAGAGCCCATTGCAACGCCATCTATTTGTCTATAGAAAACATCATTAAATCTAAATTGCACGTTGAGCATACATCGTAGTAGTAGTTCTTTAAGGTAATGTTTTGGGATACACATATCAATATTATTGTTTTCAATATAGTCACATAAAATACAAACGGTTTCTGTGAGAGGAACATTTGTAAAAAGAGAAGTGACATCTAATGAAAACATTTTCTTACCGGTTACGTTGATATTTCTAATATAGATGTTGTTACAAGGAGGCACCAATTACATATGCGCCACACAAATCTCATTCTTTATGTGTGAGAGCTGTAATACTGCCCTGGTGCCCAAAACGAAGCAGGTTGTTTTCTTAGGGGGCGACACTCGGAGCCTCTGACCTGAAGGTCTGATCCACAAAGCAGTGGAGCATTGTCCCATGGAAGCCGGTAACCAACAACTGGTTCATTCGCCATTTATTCTCACAGGATACTGGAGCCCATGTGCACCATCGGTTTAGAATCCGGTTAAAGCGACGGACATTCGCTTTTCGTGCTCTCATTTTCGTAAACATCACCCCCGCCACGAGAAGGTAGTGGGTAGGACCTCCATGGCAGGGGCTATATATGCGTAGTTATGTTAGGGCATTTCGAGAGGGAGAGCGGACTCTCCCCGCTCTCGGCCGTACCAGGGCATTTGGGAGCATTATCGAAACTACAATGAATGGATCATAATTTTCAATCTATCTGTTGTATCTTAATATGTTCATCTGCTTAACCAACCACACTTCGTTTTTCTTTCTCCTTTTTCTCATATATGAATATTTAGAAGTCTACTACAAATATTTACTGAACCATTGTTTCAGAAAGATGGGTTTTTCATGGAATTAATTGAACGTCGTAATCAATCAACTGGTTTCGGTGAAAATAATATCAATGCTTTATGGGAAGCATTGGAAATATCACAAACATTGTAAAATTATCTAGTCGATTGTATACCTTCAGTTTAATATTTCATTTTTAATCAGTTATGTTATAGAGTATCATATTGTTTTCTTTATCCCACTGTTTATCACCTCGCTTTCCATCGGGACTTGAGAAATAAGATGCAATTTTATACTTAATTAACAGAGAACAACAGATATAGACTGAAAAAAATTAATACATGGTTCGAGTATGTAACTGTTGTCTTATTTTCAGTTTAATATTTAAAGGTAAATGTAAAAGGTAGTTTTCGTCACGAATGGACTGTATAAATCCTACTCTGCATCTTTTCTATGCACGTGCTCCTGTAAACACTTGTAAATGTGTAAGCCTAATTGGATGCAATATTTGTATAATTATCAGAAATCTAGCATTACATATTTATTAACCACTGAATACACTCTCTATCTTACCGAATAGATTGGTTTTGGTTACGTAAACTATGTTTAATGCTTGATAGTTCTATTTCTATACAATAATATTCAGTTCTGTGGAGTTTATAAAATAAGGTCAGGAATAATGTAGGAAAGCTTTTCTTTGTCATCATGCTAAACATACTATAAATAACAGAGAACTGTTTGGCGAGTCGAACCAGTTAGCTTCATTCAAAATATAGGTTCATTTAATAGATTTTACTGTTGTATTCTTAACATTTTTACAGTTTCTGAATATTAGTAGATAGCATTCGAATTTTATCTCCGGTTATTTTGTTTTGTAAGGAACTTATCAACAGAATGTAATTACACCATAATAATTTAGAACATTAACGTAAGTCAGTGGGAAATTTTAAATCACCAATCTACTTCGTCGAAGAAGCACTAATAATTATGATATGTAGTCAGAGGTCTGATTTCTTAAAAATAATGCATACTCACAAGTGTATTTGAGTAGTATCACTCATTGACTTTGTTTTATTACAACTGAATTGAGAAAAAACATTGCCAGTCTACATTTATTGGTTGTTTGAATCTTCCCATTAATGTTTAGGATTACAATTGACCACCCGTTTTTAGCATATGTGGCTTTTGTGCGGATTGCCTCGATATTATCCTTAATTCACGAGTATTATGACCAGAGGTAAAGGATGTCTATCAGTGGGGTCCAGGACTCACGTTTCGTCCCGTTTGTGACTCTTCAGCTGGATGTGCCTGCATCTCAGCGTTAACGTCCACTTCCGAACTTAGAGCTTATGACTTGTAGCAACATTGTTTCAGATAGTTTATCCTCTTTTGTTACTTGGTGTTTCTTTCATCTAACAAACGTCCAAACTGTCTTTAATATGTCCAAGTTGTCATTACCGATTCGAATGTAATCTTTTAAACAAAAGTAACAATGTTTTCGAATATCAGTAACATGACAAATAATATGAATATAAAGAAAGTTTGACCATCAACTAGTTAAATAACTCGAAAATAAGTAAGAATTAACTAAACGATATGTCTTAAGGTTTGTAATTTCTGGTAAATTTGAATTCTGATCCCCAGTGCTATCCATGATACCTTCTTTGCCCTATTCGAAAGTTTTCAAATGAGTGTACCTTCATTCTGAGGTTTTCATTTATGCTGAGTCTTGAGCCCTGAAACTATCACTTTAAGTGCCAACGGGTTATGTGTGAGCTAATGAATCCGAATGATCACTAGTTCAACCGAAATTATAATGCATTTGTTGACATACCTAGCTCCTCATCATGTTCCTAAATACAAAGTTTTAGTTACAAATTTTAGTGTCTTTAGCTTGCAGGTAGCAGTGGGATCTGGTGTCTGCGTTTCTTTTTGTTTGAGATTGATCAGATGAATGTAAATTGACCCTAGAGTTCTCATAATCGAGGACCCAATATTCTTTCTGTAGTAAAATGGTCGTCCTGCAATCTACTTCAAACGTTTTTTAAATTTGAAATTCGCGGTTTGTATTTTGGGTGTATAACATTAAATGATCCTTAAACCAACTAAAGTGTATCGATACCCTTCTAAGATCACTTCCAATTGTGTTTATAAATGTATGTGTGCTCGTAATGACAAGTACATAGGAAGGACTATAAGAAGAGCACTTAAAGGGCTTTCTAAACATATTCCTCGAAAACTGGGGAGGAATGTAGTGCTTACAGGTGCATTCACAAGACATTTTATAGACAGTGGACAAAGTGAATATCACATGGACGTTTATAATACTTAACTAGCACGGAACAATGCTTTGTATAAGAATTTGACATCAAGGGATTTCAACGTGACCCTTGTATACAGAAAGAAAGTACAGTAAACCTATCGTTGACATGGTGAAATAATTATATCGTTGTAGTGTGCCAAGTGCATAATCCCTTTAATTTATATTTTAAACATTCGGCCTTATTACTGCCCATTTACTATGAAAGATGCTTTCTTCATTTTATATCCCGGTTATTATTTGTGATATCGCTCCTTTCTTTAAACGACTTCATCTTCAGCACATAAGTACTAATTAATCTTAACTATTACACTAATTGTGTTGTTATATCTTCTAGTTTTTGGTGGTTTTATTTTTCGCTATCGCTTCAAATCCAAATTTATTGAATAAAAATAGAATTCAGCGAAGAGAATTACCTTTTCGATTTAATCATTCACTTACACTGTAGATTTGTTTGTCTAATTGTTTGATAAAGAAGGAACCGATTTGGAAAATTTCTTCATATGTACAGTAGGGCCATTTATACTATCATATTGACATAAATATTTTATAATCAGTCATTTGTACTTCTATTGATAATGCTTCTTCTGTTTCGGTACAACAATAATGGAATAATGCTTAGTACTTTTGTTTTGATAACTAAAGTAATTACATTACTCCCTTCAAAATGAATTAAACTATAAACAGGCAGATCAGTTATGTTATATGTAATCATAGAAATTCTTTATATTCTATGGTAATTCAGCTTGTATCTAATTGAAATAAAGTGTTGTCTGGCATTAGTTAAATCTCCAATTCATTAACAAGGATTTTTATCAAGGAATTTATTATGATAAACGATGGTCAGTTGGATATTGAGCAGTCAGGAAGATTATAAACTATAATCATTAAACGTGTTGTTAGGTGTTGATAAATGATGACAGTCCTCAAACTGTCAAATAAATATCGGAAAATAAAGCCAAACACTATACAATATGACAGGGACAGCCACCACTATTGTGTGAGTCTGGTTGGTCGCTAGGACATTTGGGATCATTAATGGACATCGTTAGCAATCCTCTAGAGAAAGCTACCTGATTTTCTCTTCATACTAATATTAGTACAAGTAAATGAACATACCAGCATAAAAAGCTCGTCGCATAATTACAACACGCTTATCAAATATCTTAGCTTAAAACCGAAACGAAACACTGAACTGTACTAAAAAAGATCAAATTGGATTTCAGTAGCTTTCCAAATCAAT